TTTGTTTAACCAATCGAGGGGAACTTTGGTGTTCTCCAAGATTGATTTATAATTAGGGTATCATCGGTTAAGAATTAAGAAAGATGATATTAACAATACTCGTCTTCAAAACTCGATATGGTAATTATACGTTTCTTATAATGCCATTTGAGTTAACCAATACATCAACCATATTCATGGCCTTGCTCGAATCGAGTATTCCATGAGTACTTGGGATAACTTCATCAGTCTTCATTGATGATATCTTTATATATTCTATGACTCATAATAAACTTATGAAGCATTTGGCTAAAGCACTACAAACCTTGCAAGAGCACAAATCATATGCTAAACTTAAAAAGTGTGCATTTTGACTCGAGCATGTAGCATTCCTTAAATATGTTGTTTCGAGGATGGGGTGATGGTTAATCCTAATAAGGTATAAGTACTATAAGAATTGAAATAGCCTAATAATATATAAGAGGTAAGGAGCTTTCTTGGTATGGTAGGATACTATAGGAAGTTTATGAAAGGATTCTCCAAGATCGTCGCTCCACTAGCTAGATTAACAAGGCGATTGCTAAATTTGAGTAAGATGATGAATGTGAAAAAATTTTCTAGAGCTAAAGTTCGAGTTAACCATAGTATATGTTTTAGCTCTACTTAAGGATGATGAAGACTTCATAGGCTATATCGATGCATTTAAAATTGAACTTGATGTAGTATTGATGTAACATGATAGAGTCATAGCTTATGTATCAAGAAAGTTAAAAGAATATGAGAAGAATTATCCCACTCAAGATTTGGAGTTAGCTACTATAATTTTTACATTGAAGATTTGAATACATCATTTATATGGGTTCAAGTGTGACATTTATACCGACCATAAGAGCTTCCAATACATCTTCACTTAGAAGGAGTTAAACATGAAGCAAAAAATATGGCTTGGAGTATTAAATGATCATGATATTGCTTTCCACTCGCCATCCCAATAAAGCAAATGTCATGGTTGATGCTTTAAGCCGAAAGGCTTTGATGACCTATACATATCTAAATTGTAAAGGACATAAAGAGATTACGAGTTAGAGATCATACCAAGAGGAGATAATGAAATGATGTTGAGTGCGATGATGTTATAACCTAACATGAGATAAAGGATTAAGGATGGTCAACTACGGGATATAGATTTAATGAAAGTTTAAAAGATATAGCCGAAGAAAAGTTTACAAAATATGCCATGGCATTTGATGCTATCAAGAAAGACTATATGTTCTCGTAAATAAGGAGCTTTAAGAGGATATCTTGAGATAAGCTTATGCTACACTCTATTCCATCCATTTAAGAGGCATTAAAATGTACCAAGATTTGAAAAAGAACTACCGGTAGAAAGGGATGAAGCGAGACATTACTAACTTTGTAACAAGATGCTTAATATGTCAGCAAATCAAGATTGAGCATCAAAGGCTATCGGGATTGTTGACATTCCTTAACATACCCAAATGGAAATAGGAGCACATTACTATAGACTACCTCGATCCAAAAGGGAGTTAACAACATGCACGTAATTATTGATGGACTCGACCAAGTCAACTCATTTTCTTATAGTGAAGTCCACATATTCCATGCAATAATAAGTAGAATTGTATTTAAAAGAGATCGTGACACTACATGGCATTTCGGTCTTGATTGTTTTAAATCCGGATCCATGATTCACATCACAGCTCTGAAGACCATGCATCAAGTGATGGGAACCAATGTGAATTTTAGCATAGCATTTCACTCTTAAATCAATAGACAAATAGAAAGGGTAAATCGGATCTTGGAGGGCATGTTACGAGCCTATGTTCTAGATTAGTCCGCGGATGGAAAAGATACTTACAACTTGCAAAATTTTCTTACAACAACATCTACTAGGCTAGCATTAATATGGCACTATAAGAAGTTTTATATAGATGGAGGTGTCGATCACCACTACACCGGGATGATGTTGGTGAGCGAAAACTATTAAGACTAGAAATGGTTCAACGAGATAGTAAAAATGTCGAGCGAGATCGGACTAAGAATGAAGATAGATCAAAGCAAGAAAAAGAGTTATGCCGATGTTCGAAGGAAGGACTTGGAATTTGAGGTCGATGATAAGGCGTTCCTACAGGTGGCACTAATGAAAAGGGTGATATGATTCGAGAAGAAAAGAAAGTTGAGCCCGAGATACATTACTTCATTTTAAGTGTTAAAAGAATTAGAGATCGTGCATACAGATTAGCTCTATTTCTATCTCTCTCCTCGCACATAACATATTTCACGTGTCAATGTTGCAAAAATATATGAAGGATCTAAGCCACGTTTTGAGAGATGAATCACTAGACCTTCAACCTAACCTTAACTATCAAAAAAAGTAGACACAAATCCTAGACCGAGAAACAAAACAATTAAGGAATAAATAAATTCCTATTGTAAAAGTGTTATGGAGAAATCATAATATAGAGAAAGCAACTTGGAAAAGAGAAGAAGAAATGAAAGTGAAGTATCTCGAGTTGTTCAATTAGGGAATTTTGAGAATGGAATTTTTATAAGGAGGAGAGGATGTAATATGCACGATCCAAAATCCTCCTAGAATGTAAATGTACCATATAGACATTTTGTTTAATTAATGAAAGTACATTTGTTAAATGTTTGAACACAGTTTGAACTTTAATTAGGAGTGAAGGAAGCATCATTAAGATTGAAATGAGGTATCAAGGGAATGAGGGAAGCTTGAATTAGATAATTGTATCCTCAATTGATATGGTTATTCTTCACCATAGGAGTGCAATTGCAAAACCTAAAGGCATAATTGTAAATATTAAAAAGTTTAAGTTCTTGATCGAAATGATTGGGAATTTGAAAGGACAAAGTGGACTTGTCATAATTTAGAATGAGTACGTAATTAAAATATTAAATAGGCAAATAGATTAATTAAAGGATGGCTACATTAATTCAACTATTATAAATTGGTTTTCTTCTCTTAAAAGAAGTGTTACTAATACTTATCCCTCGTACCTCTCTCTCTCTCTCTCTCTCTATGTATATAATAATAATAATCAATTGTAACATTTATTTTGTTCTGATTTTTTTATATAAACTTTTGTCAAATAGTATAATATATAAAGATATTTTAATAAATTTCTCTTATACTTATATAATAATTGTTAAATAATCTTTAATAATCCTAAATAATCCCTTAAATTAATATTTATTAAATTATTTTTTAAATATTTTACATGCAACATGTCCGTAGCCATTATATGACATCTATAACATATTGTTATATTGATATCACATTCGTGTTTACAATTATAACTCAAAATCGCATTTTAAAACCATGATTTAAATCTCAAACTTGTATGTGAGGAGTAAAATTATCATAAATTCTCTAATTTTGACATAAATAGCCTACTTGTTGAAAACTTTAAAAATATCAAAACAAAGAAGACTATAGTGAAAAGAAGTAAGATATTTGATAGATTGTTGTTGTCATTTTGTTGGAAATACAACCCTTTTTTTTTTTCAACTTTTTGTTTAATACTTGTGAGATTAGAAAGCAGGATAATTTAAGGATACCTATATTATCCGTATTGTATACAATACATTCGGATACATACACAATCAGATATGCATTAAGATACGTGGCAAAACAACAAAAAAGTAATATAAATTTTTTTTCCAGATTTGGATATATGGAGGTTTCACATCCAAATTTATTTTGGGTTTAAGCCAAATAAATTGAATAGAAAAATGGATAAAACACATCAATTTTTTTCAAGAGGTTTTCTTTTAATATTCTTGGTTGGCTTTACTTAAAAGCTCAATGGGTTTGTTCAAATATAATTTCAAAAATCATTTTTAACCAATCATTCAACATAAAATTTCAATTTAATGTTTTTGAGAAATAATATTCAAATTCTTATAACTCTCAATTTTAGCAATGAAATTGTTTGATTTTGATGTCTATAAATTCTTTATAATAAGATCTTTTATTTGATTGTATTGGTTTTAGAATTTCAGTGGCATACATCAATGATGACCATTGGTAGTGGTGGTCAGAGCTCCCTACTCTGCTTCGTTCTTTATTTAATTATATATTTTTTTGAGATTTTTTCTTTAGTTTTAAATGTGAGCAATTTGCTAATTAATTATACTACAAGATTATAACATGTTTTCCATATATAATAAGAAGTTGCTTCTTATTTTTAATCAAATGGCTCAAATTGCTCAAAATGGATGCAAAGGCTCATTTTTATTTTACAATTATTTTAATCACATAAAAAAGAAGTTCTATGGATTTATAAGGAAGGCATTATAGAGGAGAATTAGCTTAATTTATCCTTATATTTTATCTTCAGATAATAATATGCCCTTAAAAGTTTCATTGCACCTAATTTATCCTTATTTTTTAGTTCATTCTTCGATCTATGTTTTTGATAAATATGTCATCCAAACTAAATAAATATCTTGATATGGAAATTAAAACTTATAACCTACTAATTTTATTATAGAAAAAATATTTGAAGAAAACAAAAAAGAATTTCCACGTGGTGTAAAATTCAATATTTTTCGTATTTATTTTTCTTTTTTATATATCAAGTAAGATTTAAGTTTTCGCATAAGGATATTTCTATCAATTTGGATGAAAAACATGACAAAAAATGGTTGAAAAATGACCCTATATTCAAGAATAAATTGAAAACAAGTAGACTTGTAAGGATGGATTGGAAACTTGATTTAAAATATAGGAATAAATTAATCTAATTTCCCCATTAGAGAAGCCAACCCCTACTGGATATATCAGGAGAATATATTTGTGATATGCATCTGAACGTATGAATGTTCAAGTGAAAAATAGAGAAGGGTCATGCGATAATTGATATTATAATTTTTTTATTATAATAAAGCATGTGACCTTGGCAACAATCAGAATTGATTTTGAACCGTAGTCCTTATTCTCATTTTTCACTACTACATAAATCCTGGCTTAACCTACTTCAAGGGCAGAATATGACCCTATAATTAGTTCCACCAGGGCAAGTGAAGGTGCTTGTTGGGTCATCCTTGGGATAGCTATAAGCATCAGGGCACCTCTGCTTGAAAAACCTTGAGTAATCTGTTGGGACACAATTCCCAGAATTGCAACAATATTGATCAGTCTTAAAAACAGTGCATGGATTGTTGCAGCCTCCTGGGACCCTAAGCGGATTTGGGCACTGTCCATTGATATCAGCTGCGCACCTAATTCCACGGCAGTTGCCTGATACTGGACTAAAGTCCATAGGAACATTAAAGCCATCAACAAGAGAGATGTCAAAGAAGTCTAAGTTGTTGAATTGGTTTAAGGCATATTCAGCCAGTGTGTTAGGGGGTTGACCGTAGACTTGGCATTGTAAGAGCCCATTGCAATCACCTGTCCCACACCTACCCCGCCCAGCCCCATCAAAATTGCAGTTGGTCCGTGCCCAAATACGGGCACCTTTTGTTCCGGCCCTCACAGTGATGGTCCATGATTGGCCTCGATCGAGTCTTCGGCCACCACCGGGAACAGCCGCGGCCCAAACAGTGTAAGGGCACTGGTTTCGGATTTCGAAAGTAGCTGCATTGATTGAGGGGATGAGATAGGCTAAAAGAAGGAAGCAGGGAAATGATAAGTAAGCAAAAGAGACCATACTGAGGAAAATATAGATCGAGAATGCTATTGTTTTGTGAGTGTTTGTGAGGACTTGGGTCTGCTTTTATAGGAGAAAGGTCAGAGTCTGTTAGTGCCGTTGGTTCCTGTTTCACAATTAAAAAAAAAAAAGTATACAGAGGGAGAGATTACAAGACAAAATTGTAACCCTTTTTTTTTTTTTTTTTAATCTTCTGAGACATTTCATAATTCTAAACCACGTTCTTACTTTTAAATCTGTAGATATAACTTTACTTCAATTAATTTGATTCATTCGATTTTGAAGGATAATATAATAATAAAAAAAATAGTTTTGAGCCAATTACAAGAGGAAGAGATAGTTAAAGACAAAATTATAGCCTTTTTGTTTTTCAAAATCGTCTTCTTAGATATTTCTTAATTCTAAGCCATGTTTTTGCTTTAGAATATGTAGATTGATCTTGCCTTAATTAATTTGATTCTAAAAAGACATAAAAATCAAGAAAATAAAAAGGAGAGAGAGGGAGAAAGATACAAAAAAATTTTACTTGGGCAGGATCTAACAATAACACCACCTAAATTATTATTAAATAATTTCTCTCGTATAAACTAATTAATCTATTGCCTCCTAAACTGGGTCATTTCATCACTAGCTAGAAATAGAAATAGAAATATATTTAATTTTTTAGATGTAAAAAATATATACATATATAAAAGAGAAGCGGCAACAAGCCAACAACTGAAACAAAGTGTAAAAAATTATATGGATCCACCAGTTTTGATTTTGACGGCAACTGGACATTAATATTAATGATCAAAGTAGAAAATAAAGGAGTCAAAAAATCACCACTGAGAATTTTAAGCAGTTTTCCAAAGTGGACCGTAAGCTTGGATAAGCAATGCATGTGATGTGAGTACTAGAAACAATAATAGAGTTGAAATTGGAAAAAGGAAACAATGAATGTGGTATAAGACTAAATCAAAATGGAAGATAATGGAGGAAAAATTTCCCATAGATTAAGTACATATTGAGCAGTTTTCCACTGTCGACTTTGTCCTGACTTTTTTTCAGTCAAAGGACTTGCCCTTACTAGAATGAGTAATTAATTGCTTTTTTTTTTCCTTGCAAAAAATTGTTATTGATTGTTGATTTGCCATTATTATCTGCTATTAAATCATGGTTATTCAACTATGTAATTAATTATCTGCTATTTAATAGGAGATTTTTCACTTATCTACTTTTTATATTTTCTTTTATTTTTCTTGATTGGATGCTTTGCCTAAGGACATGCTTTGATATTCAATAATCTTAAATTAATTAATCACTTAATTAGCATTTCTTAAATTATTTTTCCATGATTCATTTATATACTTGATGTTTTATTTTATTCTATATATGATTCTCAAACTTGAAATCCATTATTTAGCTATAAATTTGTTGATGATGTATGTTACACATGACATTAGAGGGAGAACTTAAAAAAAAAACAAAACAAAACAAAACAAAACAAAACAAAACTAGTCTATACAAAAATCAAGGATAAGAAATTGGTTATTAAAAAAAAAACATAAATAACAATTATTCTTTAGTATCATACTTGAGGTAGACTACATTACATGTTATCCCATAATATTAATTTATGGTTTTACTTATGCTGAATTTTCTAAGCATTATGGTTGTGTTTATTATTAAGTTCTAAACTAGACAATACTAAGGTTATAACGCCGGATAAATTTAAGAAAAAGATCACGAATTCTTAGTCTGTTAAAGAAATAATATTTGAAAACAACAAAAGAGAAAATAATAGCATGGGACTTATTCCAATTCTTCACAAAAATGATGTCACTTCAAACATAAAATAATAATAATATTATTACTTTTAGGCACCTTTACTATTAAATTACCAATAACTAATTTCTGTTGCAATTTTTTTTTATAATGAATTTCTATAGCTTTATTGAATTGAGAAACCATGTGAAAAAGATTAAAAATCATTTCTAGATCTTGATTGGATTTGGGATACAATTTGTTCTAGCGTATTAAATGGAATACAATATCAATTTTTTAATTAATTATTTATTTTTTTGGTTAACGTCCGAAGCAGCCTTAAAACGAAACCATGAAGTGCAAAACGTGAATGTACATGACTTAAGTGTTCATGCAATAAAAAGCAAAAGGTTTTGTTTGTCTCAAGCATAAACACAACAGGTATTGTTTGTCTAAAACCCCAACACCAACAAAACCCCAACCCCCACCCCCCCCCCCAAAAAAAAAAAGAAAAAGAAAAAAAAAGGGCATTCCCTTCCCTTCCCAACTCTATACCCTATGGAGTGAGGTTTGGGCTCTTCTACTAAAGAAATTTAATGATATTATTATCATGACCTCCCGACACTACAATTCTATATATAGAATGAGGATTGGGCTCTTCTACTAAAGAAATTTAATGATAATATTCTCATGACCTCCCAAACTCTATACTCTATGGAATGGAGTGTGGCCTCTTATACTAAGGAAATTTAATCATATTATTCTAATAAATTAAAATTAAAGTTTGATTAATTTAATAATATTTTTAAATTACTCTATAAAGTGAGTTTGAGCCTTATAGTTTAGGCTCATTATTGACATCGACCAAATTTGAACCTTGCTAAAATTAGGAGAATCGAACTCGAGCACATTAAGCTCGACTCCACCCACTTGTAATTTTTTTAAAAGAAGAAGAAGAAGATACAGTGAGCGATCGGATGTTTTTATTTATTTATTTTTTTATTTTTTGAGTCAATGGTTAAGAGGATACTCCTATTTTTATTTTTGTCTTAATGGTATTTTTTTTTATTAAATTCCTCGGTATTGTTATTTCTTAACATTTACTTTGTGTCTTATTTTTGTCCTTTTGTTTAAATTTTGAGATAACCGTTTGAAATCTCAACAAAAGAGACAAGATCTTGACATATAATATATATTTTTTTTTTTAGAAATTAAGTGAATAAATTTCAAAAATGAAAACAAATGAAAAACCCAAAAGCCTTATGTAAATACTCAAAATTTCATAATCAAAATCAATTCTCCCCTAACCTAACCCTAATTTTGTTTTTCTCTTCAATTATTGCTAGTCAAAATGCTTTCCTTGGCTGTATGTTGGCTCATAGAAAGAAGATCAAGAGTACTCTAATGTCAAGGAGAAATCAAAAGAGCCATAAAACTTCTCCATCAAGACAAGACCTTCGAAGCTAAACTAGATAAGAAGAAAATCAAGTCTTAGTTTTATCAAAAACTTTGAAGAGTCTAAGACAATGGCACATGGTTCTTCAACTTTTACTAAAAAGAGACATTCATCGATCTTAGATGGATTCCATCCGATACTAAGATGCACATATCTAATAAGAAAAAGAATCAAGCCTTAATTTCATTAAGGAATTCGAGCCTAGAACAATGCCAAAGTCTTCAACGAGGTTTGCTGAGATGAGACATTCATCAATCCTATATGGGTTTTCATCTAAGTCTAAGATGCACGGATCTAACAAGGATAAGAATCAATGTAATATCCGTGACATAAAACCCTCATAGAATATAAATGTACTTTATAGATATTTTATTTAATTAATGAAAGTACATTTATTCAATGTGTGAATGGAGTTTGAACTTTAATTGTGAATGAAGGAAGTATCATTAGGATTGAAAGAAGGTATCAAAGGAATGAGGAAAGCTTGAATTAGATAATTGTACCCTCAATTAACATGGTTATGCTTCACCATAAGGGAGCAATTACAAAACCTAAAGGCATAATCACAAAGATTAAAAAGTTTAAATCCTTGATCGAAATATTATGAATTTTAAAGGAATTAAGTTAACTTTGGGATTGGCCTAGATGAGAGCTAAATTAATGAAAATTGAAAAGCTACGAATTGAAACTATATGGTCAAATTACAAAAATTGAAAGTTTCGGGACTAAAGTGTAAAGTACTATCAATGTGAATGACCCATTAGTTAAACTAAAGGGTAAATTAAGGTAGAAAATTCTAGAAAATTTTAGATTAAAGATAGGGAGAAAGTCGGTGTTGGAAGGAGGAGAGAAAAGAGGAAAAAATCTAGGTCAAAAAAGAGGAAAATGAGGAAGAAGAAAAGAAAAATCATAAAGCAATTAATGAACGTCCATAAGATCAACCCGTGTATGCCACACTTGGCTTGATCTTGAGGCAAAACCCTAACCATAAAAATGAGGAAGAAAAAAAAGAAGGGGTTAGATACCATTAAAGCTTCCAAGAAACTTTGAAGAGAAAGAGATTCTGATCGCCTAAATCACCACCCCAACACACTCTAACTAGATTACAAACAACCTAATTCAACCTTCAAACCATCTTAGAAGATCAAATGAGGAGAAGGAATAATTGCTTACCTTGGCTAAATTTTGGAGGTGAGGGAGAAGAAGAGAGTCAATGAGAAAAAAGAAGAAGAAGGAAGGTCAAACTCCAGGTGAGGTAAGAGTAGTTCTATACTTACACCATAAGAATTGATGTTTTGAGGTATGTTAAATGTTAATTTATGATTTGGTAGATGAAAGTTTAATGAACATGTTATTGAAAATTGTGTGATAAGAATTGATTGGATTGGTTTAATGATGTTTATGTGTTTATTATGTGAGGAATATAATGTTTGAATGAAATAGAAGTTAATGCTTGGATGTTGTCTTTGTTCCAAAAACAAAGTGGATGAACAACATTTAAGCTCATGTATATTGGTAGTTACATTAATTAATGCTTATCAATTATTTGACGGAATGTCCTAGAGAAATTTAAAAAGTCAATTGAATGAATTAGTGATTGCCCATCCGTTTGGCCTAATTAGGCTAAGCATAGAAAACCAAGGGCAAAGAAATTAATATGAGGTTTAGAGGTATAAGTGACGTGAGAATGACCATTTTGTATTAAAAAATATGATGATTGATTATGATATGATGCTTTCCATGACATTTGATTATTTATGGTGTATATTCATATTGCATGCATACTTATATGATTGGA